CGTGCCCCGCTGGCGGCCTGCGTAAGCCACGGCGTGAGGTCGCTAGTCATGTGTCAGATCGCGGAAGAACCTTGACTTCTCGTCGCTCGAGTAACATGCGCAAGCGGATGCATTCGGATGTCTGCGAGGATATCCTAGCATTTCAGTTTGTGCGGCTTTCTTCTTTTGGGGACAGTGGCGCGTCGCAGGACACGTCGCGAGATTCTGCCCGTGCAGCTTAGTCGACGCTCCATGGTATCAGCTCGCTCGCCTGCGCTGTGCAGCTTGTTGATCGGCCTGCTCGTCAGCTTGTTGTCTGGCCCTGGTCTGGCTCACGTGCTGTCTTGCAAGCCTGGGCGACATCCGTAGTCTCCACCACCACTATCATATGTAGGAAGGGGGAGAAGGAAGGATGAACTCCTCCTCCTCCTCCTCATCATCATAATCATCATCATCATCATCATCATCATCATCATCATCATCATCATCATCATCATCATCATCATCATCATCATCATCATCATCATCATCATCATCATCATCATCATCATCATCATCATCATCATCATCATCATCATCATCATCATCATCATCATCATCATCATCATCATCATCATCATCATCATCATCATCATCATCATCATCATCATCATCATCATCATCATCATCATCATCATCATCATCATCATCATCATCATCATCATCATCATCATCATCATCATCATCATCATCATCATCATCATCATCATCATCATCATCATCCATCACCTATGGTAGTTGTGGTGGAACATGGACCCGTCAGTTTTGCAAGCCTGGGCGACATCCGTACTTTCTTCGGTGGCTCGCGCTGAGGGGTCCTCGTGCAGCCAGCGGGGGGGGGATGGGGGCAGAGGGCGTTGGGCCTCGCGTTTCGGAGGGGCGATCAGAGGAGGAGGAGGAGGAGGAGGAGGAGGAGGAGGAGGAGGAGGAGGAGGAAATGGGGGGGGGCAGCGAGGGCTGCAGACACGGGGCCCGATCGGAGCCCTTCGGGGCCCAGAAGGGGGGCCTTCTTGAGGGCCCGAGGAGGCCACCCGAGCGACGCAGAGAAAGCGGGGGTCGTCTTTCAGGAGGGGAAAAAACACACAGACACAAGTAATCGTCGATTCCCCAGAAAATATGGGAAAATATGGGAAGGTGGGGGGAAGACAGAAACCCAGAAAATATAGGAAATTATGAGGGAACTGGTTATTTGTGTCTGTTTATTTGTGTGTCCCAGGGCCCCTCCAGTCTTCGCTGACGCTGGCGCGTAGGCTGCCCGCGCAAGGTCGCGCGCAAGTATGTGCCCTCGTCTTCCGCGCGGCGTGCCGCGCCAGCGGCCCGCGCAAGCTGCCGCGGGAGGTCGCCGTGTCCTCTCGCTCGCCTTGTCTCCCCTCCCCGCTCATCGCCCCCCCCCCCGTCGGCGGCGCCCAGAGGGCGCCCAGGAGTGCACCGGCGATGGAGGAGGAGGAGGAGGAGGAGGAGGAGGATGAGGACGAGAAAGGGCGGTTGGGGAGGAGGAGGAGGAGGAGGAGGAGGGTGGTCGAGCCCGTCGCCTCTCAGGGGAGCGGCCGGGCGGCCGGGGGGGGGGGAGAAGTCGGATGCCAGCGGGCGAGGAGGCGGGGCGAGGAGGGGGCGGCCTCTGCCGAGAATCCGAGGCGGGAATTCTTCGGAGCCTCGGCAGGCGGTGGATATGGACTGATTCGGGCCCCCGGGGACCGAAGTATATCCATATCCACCGCCCGCTGGGGCACCAGGACGTCGGTTCCCAGGCGGTGGATATGGATAAATCCCCGCCTCGCAGAGAAGGCGGGGAGCTTGTCACGTGCCGTCGTCCCCTCCAGGAGTAGGCCGTTTCGGAGTCTCCGCTCTCCTTCGTCATCGTCTTCTCCCTCTCCTCCAGTCTGCCCCCTGCACGTGCTTGGCGTGCCCGTTACATATCATGGCTTTGGCATGCTCTGGCTCCTCTTCAGCGCGCGTTTGGTGTGGTCGCTCCGTTCTGACAGGGCGCCTTGCCATAAACTAGCGCATCGCTTCTGTCTGTCTGTCTGTCTGTCTGTCTGTCTGTCTGTCTGTCTGTCTGTCTGTCTGTCTGTCTGTCTGTCTGTCTGTCTGTCTGTCTGTCTGTCTGTCTGTGAGCTGTTCTGAGAGCATCCCCTGCCTTTTCAGAAGCCCCCCCCCTTCGCCACACCGCTTCGCGAGCCGCTACTTTTGGCAGAATGGATCTACATCCCACGTGGCAGTGCCGCGAATTGCGCGACGGTGCAGACACTTCTGGTGCAGACTGGTCGGTAGACGAGCCGATTGGGAAGCCAAGTGACTGAAGAAGTGGGGTTATGCTGGTTGTATCGGTGAGGAAGGGAAGGACGCAGCAGCGTAACGAGCAGAGCAAACAAGGAAATTATTCATGGACCTGAGTGATAACCGACACCCGTTCAGCTCTCATGTTCTCCATGGCGTGGATGATGATCTCGGACGGGATGGTTGAGATGCACAGGTGTCGCTTGCCAGCTTCTGCGCTCATCTCTTTCTTCCGTCCATCCCCCCTCTTTTCCCCCACACCCTCCCCTCGCCGTCCTTCTCCTCGTCGTCGCCTTCCTCCTCCTCCGCCGCCGCCCCCTTTCCCCTCGGAAATCCGTGCCCTCGTGACCTGCGTGCCTCTCGGCGCGTCTCCTGCCCAGCCCCCCTGCACCCTCTCCCGCTCGATGCCTGGAGGTCGGCCGCTCGTGCCCTGAGATCGAGGCTCGAGCAGGCCTGGCCAGCGAGCGCACACCGAGGCTCGGCGAAGTCCCTGGCGAGCCTTCTCGTTCCGTCCCGTGCCGCGTGCACGGTAGGGCGGCCAGCCCGCCAGCGGCGTTTCGGCGTTGAACGCCGCGGGCGACCCAGAATCGTTCGCGGCGGAACGATCTGGACTTGGCGGAAGCGGCAGATCGTTCAAGGTTGAGCGATCCCCGCGGTGTCAGGAACCCACGCCGAAGGCGGCACGACACGAACCTGCCGTAATTACTCCCGTTGGGCACAGCAGGAGATCCCCACCCACCAAGACCACCCGATCCCAGCCCCTAGGCCTCAGTGCGCCCTCCATTTCCAGTGGAGGAAGAGGAAGGACAGGTCGAGGAGGAGGAGGAGGAGGAGGAGGAGGAGGAGGAGGAGGAGGAGGAGAGGAGGAGGAGGAGGAGGAGGCGGAGAGGAGGTGGAGAAAGAGGAGGATGGAGGAGGAGGAGGAGGAGGAGGAGGAGGAGAGGAGGAGGAGGAGGAGGAGGAGGAGGAGGAAGAGGCCGAGGAGGACGAGGAGGAGGAGTAGGAGGAGGAGGAGGAGGAGGAGGAGGAGGAGGTGGAGAAAGAGGAGGATGACGAGGAGGAGGAGGAGGACGAGGAGGAGGAGGAGGAGGACCGGGACCGGGACGTCGTCCTCCGCGAGGTCACGGCCAGACTCCCGCCCCTCGCGCGCCTGGCGGCCGCGTGGTACGGCGGGAACACCGCTCACGGCGCGCACCTCTCGGGCGGCGTCACCGCAGTGACAGCAGAGCGGGGGCTCGACCAGGGGTGCCCCCTCTCGCCAGCCCTCTTCGCCACGGCTACGGCGACCCTTTACGAGGACTTGGCGCACGCGCTGCGGCGAGACACTGGCGCCGTCGTGGTGGCGTACCTGGACGACGTCTATCTCGTGGGCACGCCGGAGGCGCTCGCTGCGGCTGAGGCAGCCGCCCCGGGACTCTACGCTGCGCGCGGGCTCCGCCTCAACGGCGACAAGACTAAGGTGTGGAACCCGCGCAACCTGCAACTACCTGCGACTTTGGCAGCGGCGGAGACGCCCGAGCTCACGTGCGTGGGCAGCCGCTTGCCCTTCCTCGGCGGAGCCGCGGCCGAGTTTCTCGGCGACGACGACCCAGCGGAGACCAGCCTCGGCGCGACGGCGGCGCCAGAGACAGCGACCCGGCACTTGGCGGCCTACTTGACGGCGCTCCAGACTCTGCGCAAACACGGCTTGATGGCGCAGGACGAGCTGACTCTCCTCCGCACTTTTGCGAACGGAGCCGCCCTGCACCACGCGCGAGCACACTTGCTCAGCGAGGCCTGGTGCGCCGACTACGACAGACGGGTCCTGGAGCACCTGGGGGGCGTGCTGGGGCAGCCCCTGACCGCAGCGGCGCGCGAGCAGGCTTGCCTGCCTCTGGCAGGCGGAGGGCTGGGCATGCACAGCCTCGGAGAGCGCCGCCTGCCTGCCTACGTGGGCTCCTGGCTGGCCTGCCTGGCCGAGGTGCGCCGCGAGCTCGGGCTGCCTAGCCTCGAGGCTTTCGCCGCGGCCTGCCCCCAGACCTGGGCGACGGTGGCGGCGGCGGGGCGCTCGGCGGGCGCTGGGGCCGAGGACTGGCTGGGCGCAGGAGCGGAGCGCGAGGAGAAAGGGCAACGGCGCCTCTCAAGGCTCGCGCAGGAAAGGCGCCGCGCCCACTCGCTCGCCTCCCTGCCGCCAACCGAGCAGGCGAGCCTCCGCTCGGCCAGCGGGAAGGGCGCCGGGAGCTGGCTGCTTCCGCCCACAGAGCCAGACCACGTCCTCGCGGACGAGCACTTCTGCCCGGCACTGGCCCTGCGGCTCCGCTTGCCCCTGCCGCCGGGCGCCAGCGCAACCTGCCTCCGGCGCCGCCCTGACGGCTCCTGCTGCGGGGCCGACCTGCGCGCGGACCCTGGGCATCCTCTGGGCTGCCCAGTCGGAGGCGGCACTGTGCTGAAGCACGACGGCGTCCGCGACTGGCTCGCGCGCTGGCTTGCGACGCGGGGCGCCGCGGGCGTGCGGACGGAGCAATTCGTCCCAGCTTGGGACAGACTGCGCCCTGACGGCACTCTGGAGGCCGCGCGGCTGGACGTGGCCTTCACCGACGCTGTCGCGGGGGTCACCTACGCCGACGTGGTGATCACCGACGCGTCTCTGGGCGCGGGCACGGCCGCGGGACGGAGCCGGGCCGCGCGCGACGGGGCTGCGGCGGCGGCGGCGGAGACGCGCAAGCACAGGCGCTACCCAGGCCCGGCCCTGGTCGCCTTTGCCCTGGAGACGCAGGGGCGAGCCGGGAAGGAGGCGCAGGCGCTCCTGCGAAGCTGGGCAGCGGGCGACCCGGCGACGCTGACGGCGGCTCGCCAGAGCTTGGCCGCCGCCCTGCAGCGCGGCAACGCGGAGGCCTACCGCGCGGCCGCCTTGCCTGCTGGCGCGGGGCGACGCCTTGCGGACCGCGGCGGCCCAGGGCCGCCTGGGCGCCGCGCCAGACTGGGCTGAGCTGACTGACCGCGGGAGAACGGGGCTGGCGCTGACCAGGCGCCGCGCTGGCGCGGCTGCTGGGTGCCGGGGGGCGGCGCGGCGCTGGACTGCGAGCTGAGGGCGCCCGAGGCAACTGCGGCTGGCCAGAGGGCGGCCAGCGCTGCACTGGACTCAGCACGCGCTGCGGGCAGGCGCCGAGGGGGGCTGGACTGCCGAAGCGGCTGGCCGGGAAGCGGCCTGGGGCGCGCGCGGAAACGGCCGACGCCGAGAGCGCGGGCGCGCGGCCGGGCGCGGGAGGCGCTGGCCCAGCGAGCACGCCTCGGCCACGCACCACTGGAGCAGGGAGGCCCGGCGAGAGGAGGAGGAGGAGGAGGAGGCCGGGGGGCGCAGAGCTGCGGACGGCGCCGGGGGCGGGCGACCGGTGCTCGCGCTCGGCCACGTCATGCTGTCCGTCGGCGCCAAGCTCCCGTGTAAGCGAGGTATAGGCCCCAGTCGGCGCACCCCCTCGGCTCTGAGGCTTGCATGCCGCTGAGCGGTGTGCTTGTCCTGGGGTTGGGGGGCTGCGCCGGCTCCCGACCGCAGTGCTTCCGGCGCGCGGCAGACCCGCGTCCGCCAGGAGGAGGAGGAGGAGGAGGAGGAGGAGGAGGAGGAGGAGGAGGAGGAGGAGGAGGAGGGAGGAGGAGGAGCCCCGTGCCCCCCCCCCAGCCCGAAACAAGTTTCGCGTTTTCGGGTCGGGTCGGGGCGGCCTGGCAGGCTGTCGGGAGGAGGGCCCTGCTCGTCGGGATCCCGGGCGCTCCCGCCCGCTCCGCGGGGCCGAGAGGTCGGCCGCTCGCGCCCGCGGGCGAGGCTACCCGTCCGGAAGCCCGCGCGGCTCCGTGCGCCGGCTCGGTCCGCCCCGGTGCAGGCTGCAAGTCTGGCGTGCCCCTCTGCAGGAGGCAGGTTCGAAGCTGGTCAAAAAAATCGTCTGAGGACGACGTTTTTGTTGTCTGACAGTGTTGGAGTTTTTCCGCAATGCTTCATGTTGTCTCCAGAATCCGCCCGTAGGGGGACATGCCCGACCTAAAGCCCAGATCCCCGACGTCATGATTTTTTCATGACGCGACCCCCAGAGATCCGGACCCATTCGCCAGGACCGGCTTCTCATCCCGAGTCGTTTTCTGACAGTCCCGAGGGCCGGTAAGGGCCCCCAGAGGCCGAAAATAGCGAAAAACCTTCCGTCGTGATTTTTTCATGACGCGAGGAGGTCTGGGAGGCAGGCATCCTCCGTCCCCGGGCGTGTTTCGTCGAGCGGCCTCTCTGCTGGCACGGCGGGCCCCCCCTGGCGGCAGTCTCGTGGCGTGCCCGCGCGGCGGCGGCCTCGCCGCGGGCCTCTCCGGGGTGGACGCCGTCGGCGGCTGTGCGTCCATCGTCGAACGATATGTCCGAGGCGGAGATTTATGCCCATACGACCGCCCTGCGGGCGATGAGGAGGTTTGGGGGGGGGTTGAGATCAAATGCCCACCCTGACTGACCTCCAGCCTGTCACCTTGATCTCCTCTCTCTCTCTCTCTCTCTCTCTCTCTCTCTCTCTCTCTCTCTCTCTCTCTCTCTCTCTCTCTCTCTCTCTCTCTCTCTCTCTCTCTCTCTCTCTCTCTCTCTCTCTCTCTCTCTCTCTCTCTCTCTCTCTCTCTCTCTCTCTCTCTCTCTCTCTCTCTCTCTCTCTCTCTCTCGCCCTCTCTCCCTCTCTCCCTCTCTATCAGAGTCTCCCTCCACCACAATGATGATCGCGATGACGATGAGATCCCACTATTTACCTATCCGTCGACTGACTTATCGGTGAACTTCACTGTCGATCTCACAGTCGACATTCGTTAGCGCCGGATGGGATGGATTGGGTTGGATGGATTGGATTGGGTGGGATCAAATAAGATGGGACAAGATGGGTTGGATCATATAGGATTGATTGCATTGGACAAGATGGATTGGATTAGATAAGCTTGATTGGATAGGAAAGCCCGCCGCAGGCGCCGACAAAAATGAATTGATGGATTGGGTTGGGTGGGTTGGATTGGATGGGATAAGATGGATAGGATCAGATAAGATAGGCTGGATTGGAAGTGGATCGGATACGACAAGGTCGGCGGATTTTTTGAGTTTTTTATGTTTCGTCCACACTTCGCCTGTAGGAGGACATGCACGACCTAAGCGTACGCGGGTCCAGGCGGCACCGGGTTTGGTTGAGCTGCTGGGTGTGGGCGACCTGATGATCGAGTCTG